GCACCCTCCCGGCTGCCCGTATGTACTAGTCACCCCAGGCACACCAGATTAGAGTCAGGCGCCACGCCAGACAACCACCTCCGCGCCCACGCAATTAATAAGAGCGCCTTCGCGTTTGTTTTCTGCAAGATCCGTTTCCGGCAATTGTATTACTAGTGGTTCTCAACCTTAATATTCAGACAAATATTAACGTAAGAGCTTCTCCGCTTTCCTCCGTCTGCCCGGAGTTTACAAGGAGTGGAGTGGCATATGCTAACTTGGTAGTGGTTGAAATGGCTCCTCATGTATGTCACCCCCCGCGGCTGACCCCACAAATGACTCTTAAATGAACCTGGATTGGAGGCCAGAACAGCAGTCTGCGAGACAAGAGTATTGGCTGGTATTTTTAAAGGAAAAAAAAAAAAAGAAGAAGAAGAAAAAAAACTAGTTCTGGGTGTTACTGAGAGACTCTCTAAACTATTTAACTATGACCTTCACTAATCAGCCCTGCTATTAGACTACTGGTTAAATTAATCTTGGATTATGAGCTATTGTGGTTTGTGACAAAAATTTAAACTTTGATAGTTTTAGCTTATATGCTTCTCACCAACATTCTATAATTTTTAACATGTTCTATAGTTAGGGGCTTAAACTGTCTAACCAGCATTTCCTCATGGCCAGCACTGCGGTCTTCCACTGTCTTGCTTCTCTACGGTTATTCTTCCAGCAGGTACTCGTCATACGAGGGGAGCGGCCTGCTTTTAAACACTTAGCTGCTCTCTCCAGCCACTGATACATTACTGTGAATACAGGAAAATAAATAGATCTGCAGCCAGCAGCACAACAGAAAGATGTGAGCCCTAGTTAACATAGAAAGATACCCAGCAAGTAGTTGCCGATAGCTGGGATACAGCACACATGACGTAGAAGGATGTTGTTGGGGGCTAGAGGGACGGCTCAGAGTTTAGAGTGGACACACTCTCGGAAGACCAGAGTTCAGTTCCCAGCACTCAATACTCAGAATTATTTCTAACTCCATATTGAGGTGAATCCAATGCCTCTAACTTCAGTGAACACATGCACTCACATGCTCAGAGACATACATACATACATACATACATACATACATACATACATACACATAATTTGAAAATAAATTTTTACTATGACCCAGAAATACCACTTTTGGGTATATACTCAAAGGATGATCAATCGTACCATAAAGGACATGTGCTCAACTATGTTCATAGCAGTATTGTTTGTCATAGCCAGAACCTGGAAACAACCTAAATGCCCCTTGACTAAAAAATGGATAAGGAAAATGTGGTACATTTACACAATGGAGTAATACACAGCAGAGAAAAATAATGACATCTTGAAATTTGCAGGCCAATGGATGGATCTAGAAAAAAATCATATTGAGTGAGGTAACCCAGACCCAGAAATACAAATACCATATTTACTCACTCATAAGTGGCTTTTAGACATAAAGCAAAGAAAACCAGCCTACCATTTACAATCCCAGAGAACAATGAGGACCCTAAGAGAGACATACATGGATCTAATCTACATGGGAAGTAGACAAAGACAAGATCTGAGTAAATTGGAATATGGGGACTATGGGAGAGGGTTGAAGGGGAGGGGAAAGGAAGTCTTTAAACTGCTGTTATCCGTGAAGATTTTGTTTACAAACCTCTCTCTAAGTGATATGCTGACATCTATTAACTGTAAAGGCTCTTGTAAATGCTTATTGGGCTGGAGGCATGGCTCAGTGAATAATGGGCTTGTCCTGCAAACATGAAGATAAAAGTTCAGATCCCCAGAACCCATGTAAAATTCAGACCGATGTTGTGGCCAACTGTAATTCCAGCACTTGGGAGGCAGAGAGAGGCTCCACCCATAAGCTGGTATGTTAGCTAGAATAGTCTAATTGGAGTGCCAAGTTCAGTGACACATCCTGTCTCATTAAATAAAGTCTAATCCATCAGAGGAAGACACCTGAAAGCAGCTACAGGTCTCCGTACACCACACATGCAAGAGTACCCATACACAAATATGTCTGTACACATGTAGACATACGTACTTATGTACAATCACACAACACAGACACACAGCAATGGAAAAAATGAAAGCAGGACCAACAAGATGGTTTAGTGGTATACATGCTCGCTGTTAAGTCCGGTGACCTGAACCCACACGGTAAAGGAGAATCAACTCAGCAGGTTGTTATCTGACCTCCCCATGTATTTCACGGCTGGCAGGTGAATGTGCCTCCAACATATATACATACATACATACATACATACATACATATAAACATAAAAAGTATTAAAGAAAGAGAAAACTTTTTCCTCAGGTTTTCTAATACTTTGTAGAATCAGTGTGCTAGCCACAGGGATAGATAAGAGTTTCCAAGAGGCTTGATTCTGTTCATCGGTATGCCTACTGAAATGCAGAATTATCTGTACGATTTTTGGAAAAATGCACTAATCTATTTCATTATGTGATCTTAAAGGTAAAATTCATTCCATTAACACAAGCACTTAATCAAACTTTTTAAAAATCTGTTTAGTATTATCTTAATACTGAGGAAACTTTTGAATGTCTGTCCTCCGTGGTTTAAGATATATTTGCACACCTTCATTTTGTGAATAAAAAGTTTGTACAGGAATAACCAGACATTGCTAACAATGAATGAATCAGTGGACAGGGCATAGAGAGATGGCTCCTTGTTGATGGCAAGAGCGCTTGCTGCTCCTGCAGGAGACCCAGGTTTGATTCCCAGGGGATCTGATGCCCTCTTCTGGTCTCTATTGGAACTGCATGCATGTTCTGCCCTCAAATACAAGCAGGCAAAACATTCGTGCACACCAATAAATAAATAAAAAAAGTTTAGTGCACAGGTTAGTGAATCACTTAAAAGGAAAAATTATTTGGGGATAAGACAAATTCTATCACTATTTAGTGGTTTTGTTTGTTTCATTTTAAGAATGTTCTGTCTTACACATTAACTTGCCAAAACAGACTTGAAAAAAATATGACCACATTCTGCTCTCCTAAAATTGACATGTTGGAAGAGTTTCTTATTTTTTTCTTGGAGTTTTAATTTATTTCTTATTCTAAAGGTAATCGAGCTTTAATGTTAGTGAACATATACTCATAAGCACATCATGAGTTTTTCAACTTAATAAAAATTCAAACTAACCACTGTAAAAACCATCTACAGAAGTTTTAGCCACTTGCAACACAACATTGGGGCACCGCGAAACACTCCCGCCCAACCCAGTGTCATTTCAGTTCTGAAAAGTGGGGAAGAAAACCCAAAGGACTGCAAAGTGCCAGAAACATCCTCAGGAGAAAGTGGTGCTTGTTTGTCATTATATCCAGGGGCTTTCGTTCTCACAGTTTTCTACCATGTTATACATAGGACAGTTTCCTGGTCATTACCTCGCTCTCATCTTTATTGTCTTTTATTTGGGGTCTGTTTTTAAATTTATTTTCTAACTTGCTAAGCTACATTTGCCCCACATTTTGCAATACTGCTTTGATTTTTACAACATTCTAAGGTTCTTTTGTCTCGTTATGAATATCAACTCAGTTGCATGGCAATGTGTTTTATTGTTCCAGCTATGGAGAGGTTTCATTTTGCATTTTGTTAAGTTCAAATTTATTTGCATTGTGTTAGCAATACATAAGACAATTTTTTTAGATCTCCCCCCAACATACAACTTTATGTAAAGCATGACTGAGTTTCGTGAACATTCCCTGTGTGCTAAGACAAATGAATTCTAGCTATTCACTGTAGAACTCAGGTCTGTTCAACCAAAGATGGCAACCGTATTTTCCATATGTACTTGATCTCTGTGAATAACAGAGATGTGTAAGGCTCAGGAAAATCTGTGGTGAGACAAACCACAAGGAGAGACGAGAAAGGACGGCATGAAAGTAAAGGAGGGCCAGAGCTAACGTAATCCAGCAAGCAGACGTCAGCAGACAACAAGGGGCAGTTGTTATAACAAGCACATACCATAACCTTATGAGATGCATGGGAATAGTCCTTATGAGGGATGGCTGGAAAAGAAACCGTTGGAATCGCCACGTGCGGTGGTGCATACCTTTAATCCCAGCACTCTGGTGCCAGACAGGCAGATCTTTAGAGCTTGAGGCCACCGTGATCTACATAATGCATTTTAAGCACACCAGGGCTGTATAGTGAGGCTGTATCCTGTCTCAGAATAATACTAATAGTACTAATAATGATGACGATGATGCTAGAATCATTCTGCAACCATTAAAAATAGTTTTCAAAGGTCTTCCCACAAAGATTAGGTTAAAAAAAATATGAGCTGTTGCAAGGATATGTTAGATAAGTCAGGGCTAAGGCGTGTCAAGATTTTGCTAGAGAACTCGTGAAAAAGAAAACGGATAAGAATTACAAAGAGCACTTGGAGCTACATATAACAACAAAGTACGTGTTTCTGCTTGGAGAGACCCAGCTGGCATCCTGCCTGGGCAAGTTTGCCTGGTTCACTCGTGAAATGCTAGGGCTATTCTTTGGGGCAGAAGCTGTCCTGGCAGACTACCCATAAGCCACTGCTCCTAGGAACCTCTGCCAGCAAGGAAAAATGTCTCTGCAGGTAACAATTATGAAAATGAAGAAAATGAAACGTACAAAATGCATGATGATGGGGTAGCTTTAAAATGGAGTACAGAGTGACCATTGCCAAAGTGTCTTTTCTTTTTTAAGTATTAAAAAAGGAGGTAAGCTACCAAAAGTTCTCCATTTCTGGTATATTTTATAGCTATTTTAAAGTTTGTCCCCATATTAATTTTTTTAAATGGTCTCAATAATTTAGCCGGCATCATTTCCAGAATATAGGATACAGGCTGCAGCAGCTACACAGAGAAAGGAACCTTGAGCTTCTTTCTGCACATTAAATCTCTCCTTCTGCAGCTGAATTGCTAAACATAACCTCGCTGAACCACTTGCACGAACTTCAAAAGGATCTCCAGCCACTCACCTGGATACAAGCCAGAGGCTCATTTGTCCAAATCGAATATCCACCAACCAAATATATTCTCCCATTATGGACAGCAACTCCAGATTCATTCTGGCCTAAAGTAAAGAGAATTGAATAAAAAGAAAAAAAATAAATTCCATTTCTTACATGTTTTAATTAACCCTTTTGCCACTGAGGGATACAATTTCCCCCTGTGGCATATTTGTATACTCCACAGGAATTTTGCAGCAATTCCTCACTGTCTCCAGAACTAAAATGAATTAGCCACTACCTCTCAAAGAGTGTCCTCTGTCTAGGTAGGACCAGGCCAAAATATCTATTACCAGCACCTTACTAAATGGAGCACTACAGATAGTAGTAGCCAGCTATGTAGGACCAATAATTCCATATTATTCTGTGATCCATTCGCCTGTGGTGGTGGAAACCGGGGATATTTGAGATAGGTAAAACATCCATTGTGTTCCATATAGCACTTGTGCCGACAAATACAGACAAGTGCTTAACTTTAAAAAGTAACAATTGTAACCCTAAGGCATAACAGAGGCACGCCCGCACCCCACGCCTCAAATGAAGACAAATGGCAGACAAAACAGATGAAAGTGCGACCCATTTTCCTTTACATAGTCAACAGTTTTAAGATTATATTAAAGCTCCCAAGCTGAGACCAGTCTACACAATCCCTAGATACTGACACGCCAAAATGATGGAAGGATTCCCCTCCCATTTCAAAAAAAGAAGACAGAATAACTCACTGGCACACATTCTCCCCTGCAGGCAAGCAGGGAGGGAAAGTCTCTTTTTACTGATGAGCTGGCACGGGATTGACTGGAGTAATAAATAAGTTGGAGGCCGAATCACAGATCCAGGGATCTAGGATCTAAGATGCCACTCTGCCTGGGAGATCAGAACTCTGCCTGGGAGATTTGCAATAGGCCTACAAATCATTTTCCAAAGAAAAGCTTGATACAAAGGCAGCCAAAATCCCTGGTTGGGCTTCCCGTGTGGCCTCCCAGCAGCGTCTGTAGGTGACTGGATGCCCACTCTGCATCTTAAATGTCTTCAAGTGCTAGGCTAAGCCACCAGTTAGAGACTGTGATTTTCCTGACGTCATGCAGCCCTGTCAGGATCCTGCCATTGCTGACCATAGGAGCTGATAAAAAAGACAAAGTTTTCAGCCCCATCTAGGACATCAGGGTAAGTGCATCCTCAGTGATTCACCCCATCCCTTTCTGTGAGGAATCCACATCTCTCATTGCTCTGCAGAGATGTACAGGTAGGGCATCTCTGTGTAGCCAAAAAGGCTCTGATACACACAGCGGCTCTCAAGTCTGATCTCTAGGCTGCACACAGACACACTATACAGTCATGACAAATAATGAAGACCACCATTTTCCTGACCTCCCAGGAGATAAAAGAGGACCAGGTAGTGAGAAGTGGCTGGGGATGGAGTGCTCGCCCAGCATCCATGAAATATCAGGTTCAAATCCCAGCACTATATACAATTGGACATATTGGGAAACAAATGTAGCCTCAGTCAAAGGGAGATTGGAGGGAGGGGAACAGAAATTCTTTGTAGCCGTTCCGATGTACATGAGACTCTGAATTTTAAAAAGGGGGAAATAATTATTAACTCTTGGTACCTTTCCCTCCTCCATGTATCAGAGTCTGACATGAGTATTACTTGATGAAAAGTGAGTTGATCTGATTGTCTTGGTCATTTGAGAAGGTACACAAAGGCAAAATAGAAACCAGATCCCCAGCCACCTGAAAGAGCCCAGCTATAAATCATGCATGTCTTCCTGGGTAAAGAAAACAATCTGTATGACTCACTGTTCACATAATATGGAACTCTAGATGGCCAAGAAACGAGTTTGGGAATGTTTTGAATCTCTATTCTATTGTTTGTTTTGGTTTTTTTATTTTTAGACATTCAAAATTTTTATTTTATTTTTATGTGTTTTGTCTGTGTGTATATCTGTGGACTTACTACCTGTGTTCCTGGTACCCTTTGGAGGGCCACAAAAGGGCTTAGGATGCCCTGGGACTGGAATGACAGACAGTTGTGAGCTGCTATAAGGGTGCTGTGTATCAAACCTGGGTCCTAAAGAACAACTATTACTCCTAACGATGGTCATCTCTCCAGCCCCTATGCTTGTTTCTAAATTGCCTAACCCCAAATACTTGCCGGTCAACAAGTTGAAATTACAGCGTGTCCACTGGTCAGTGTCAATGTTGTAAGAATCTATATGGCGCACGAGAATCCGGTCATTATTGTAGTCTAGGTCATTGCCTCCAAGAACATAGAGTTTCCTCTGGACAGCGGCCATGGAGTGGTAGACCCTTCTCTGGAGCATGGGGCTACGGCTTATCCACTTATTCTGAAATAAAACAGAACAAAACAAACAAGAAAAAAAAAACATTCAGGGGCATTGGGTTAAAAAGACTCACAAATAGCAAAGGCCGTGTGCCTCACGAGCCGTAAGAACACTAATGCCAAATGATCTTACTTGCGTATTATTTACGTGTCGAAACGTGTGGTTTTCATATGTGACAACAAGAAAGAATTACATGGTCCTTCCTAGCTTGTGGCTTCCATTTTAAAAAGAAAATTTGGTAGCTTTGCATTTTATAGAGCATTTTGCCTTTTATAATGCCATTTTAAATTTCATGATGCTTAGCTCATGGAAATCACTTCGGTTTAAGCACATGGGTACAGTGTGGAAGATAATGTAACAAGCAAAAAAACAGTCTAGATCAAGACTACGTAAGATGTAATCCACACGCAGACCCACCCCCACCCCTGGCCCCCTACTCCCGAGCTCATCTCTTCATCTATGCAGTGGGGACAATAAAGCCTGCATGATATCCACTTATGATTCAGAAAATGTCTCACATGTAATAAATGTCCAGTACATGCTCACTGTTTTAAAAATACAGAGTTTGAGAACATGTGTGGTGCCCTAGGAAGGCAGAGGCAGGCAGATCTCTGTTGAATTCAAAGCCAACCTGGTCTACATACTGAATTTCATGCCAGACAAAGCTACATAGTGAGATCGTGTCTCAATAAAAGGGGTAGGGGTATATACACATTGAGTAACCCAGGTCCCAGATAAGTTAGGGTGAAGGAAATGTTCCCATTCTCTCCAAAATTAACCTGAGATTGGAGGACAAGCTAAAAATTGTTTCAGTAACAACGTTTCCTTTGTATCTGAATCCTCTCACACTTTAACACTCTGATTTATGTTCTTCATCAAGTAGGAGAGCTAGGTCTAGACATATTTATCTATTTTGGTAGAAGGCCAAGCTTTATATGACAATGTTAAGGAATGGTAAAATCTTTAATATTTGGCTCTAGATCACCCACAATAATAAGAATGCTAAGTTCAGCCCCTCTTAACCTAAGATTCCTATTTAAAATGCAATAGCAATTTTAAAATTATCTGAGAATCAACCGTGACTTTAAATTTAAATCGCAAGTAACCAATTGACAGACAAGTAAACTGAGTGATAGATTAATAAACAAATCCAACCACTTCCTTCCTCATAGACATTCAGCATATAGGAAAGAACCTCATTTCCTTTTGCCAAGACAAAATTGGATTGGAACCAGAAAACTCATATGATGTTTTGCATGCACAGAATTTCACCAGTTCACAAAGCTGCAAAGAAAAAAGCAGACTACAACACAAACATGCGTGTATAAACATTGGCATATATACTATAGGCACTTAGCACTATAGGCACATACACTGGGGCATGTATTCACTACAGGCACACACACTGTGGTGTGCATCCCTTCCAGGCACACACACCAGGGCATTTATATACTACAGATACATACTGTGCAACCCTATTCACTACAGGCACATATAGTGGCATTTATTTGTTATGGGCATATGTTTGCTCATTTCTAATTTCTCAGAGCAAACTGCAGGAAAAAAAAGACATTGTTTAGTTTGAGAAGCTTATCCTGTTTGGTCCCTCTGAACACAGAATCTCTGCAATCAAATACGGCCTTTAATAAATAGTCAAAGCTAGATTTCAGGCATTTTGCTAAGAAATATCTTTAATGCATTATGCTTGAGTGAATTTTAAATTTCTGACGATGCTTATCTTGGGTGCTCTCTCTGCGATAACCTATTACAGTATTAGGAATCTGTGTTTGCATTAGCAGTCCAGTCCCCTGCCACAAGACAGTAGATGCCATCTGGTTTGCAAAGCCTGCCTCCATCCCCTGATTATATCTTTAGCTTCCTTCACTGCAGTGCCTGCCAGGTGAGCCGCCACCCGCTGCAAAGGCAAAGAAGAGGAGAGGCCTGGTGGGGTCATTCCTAATAAGCTAGCGTGTGAATACTAATCAGTGGTGGGGAGCCAGAGGTCACCCCAGCCTGCCTGTTGGCAGGTAGCAATGTGCTCTGTGGCAGATGGCAGGCATTATCGACTCTCCACAAAGGCCTAGAAGAGAAATAAGCACCAGGGCTGAATGATAGAGTTATTGAGATTCCGAGCAAGATGCAAGCAGATGTGATGTTTGCCAGTACCTACCGTAAACAATATGCCAGCAGAATCTTTAAAAAAGAGCATGTGTGTACAAACATGAGAGAGAACTCATTTAAGCAGTGTTAATGCTGCCTTCTTCCTTAACCATGTGTGCACCAAGCTCAGGCTTCTGCAATTAGCGCTCCCTCATGAGACAGCGGACCCACGAGCGTGCAGTCTCTGCAATCCACAACTTTTAATAATATCAAGAGAGACACTTGGAAAAAGAGAAATGCCCTCCTCAGTAAAGTCATTGTTAAAAATGCTGCAGAAATACCAGGAACTCTATGCATAAGCTTGTGGTACCTAACCAGCTGCAGCCTGCCAAAGTCAACCTGTTGTTTCATATCCAGATATCGCTAGCTGATAGATATTAAACCTCCACATCATGCCGTTTTGAAATACTGTCACAATAAAAACAATATTTAGATATATAAGTCATAGAAATGGCAAAACTCATTAGAGTTTGCCTGTTTGAAGATTTTGTTTTAGAAGGAAGAGAGAATAAAAACATGTTTCGTTTTAGGGGAAAGGGGGAATTAAGTGTGCACCAAAACTGCATAAAAAGGGTCGATCTGTTAGAGGCACTCCATTCTCAGACTCCTTCAGTTACTTCCAAATGCCTTTGTCCTAGATAGTATTCTAGAACACAGTTGGCTATGGGAAGTCAAATGACATTATTTGATTTGAGAATAACAAGGTCATCGTGACGTTTCCTGCCCCAAATGCCATCCCTTCCAGAAGGACACGGCTACAGTCAAAGTCCCCTCTACGGAACGCAAAGCATGATGCTAGAGGAGCTGAACTTCTGCGGTAATAATGAGCAACCAAAGGTATTCCCCTGGATTCGTTCTTTTTCCCATGTAGCTTAAGGTGCTTTTGTGTGGCATTCTAATGAATATCTCCCGCAGAAACCTTTCCTAAATGCATCTTAAGGCAATGACTTCTTATCAAGTGCTTACCTGGTTGGGTTCATACACCATCAGTCTGTTTTGATACTGTGCCGTGTTAGTTACCCCACCTGTAATGGAATAGCGCATGTTAGACCCTTCCAAAATAAGTATGAGCTACAAACAAAGGACAGTTAGCTCCAGTTGAGGATCTCTGTATGCTATCAAAGAGAACCCATGACATAATTAAGAAATGTATTGTAGGGGTGGGGGATGGGAGGAGAGAGTGTGGGGAGAGATGACTGGAACTGGGGCACATGGGGGACCAATGTGGAAACCTAGTGAGTGCAGTGGAAACTCCCTGGAATCTATGAGGGTGATCCTAGTGAGGAGTCATGGGGGATACAGTGCCTGAAACAGCCATCTTCTGTAACCAGGCAAGACTTTCAGGGGTGCGACTGTGACATCAACTCAGCCCTAAAACCTTCCACCCACAGGGCTGTCCTGCCTGCAAGATGTGCTGGGGTAATGGTGGTTCAGAGCTTTGTGGGAGTGGCCAACCAATGACTGGTCTAACCTGAGGTCCATTACCACACGAGGGAGCCCATGCCCAACACTGCCGGGATGGCCAGAAACCAGGGGCTGGTTAGCCAAAATACGTAGGAATAGAAGAAACACAACTAGCCGAATGGAAAAAGAAAAAAGTCAATGCAATGATTCCTAATGCTATCCTGCTATACTCATAGACCAGAGTCTAGTTCAGTTGTCAGAGAGGCTTCATTCAGCTGCAGAGAGGAGCAGATGCAGAGACCCACAGCTAAACATTAGGCGGTCGGTCAGCTTGCAAAAGCCCGCTAAAGAGGAGGAGGAAGGACTGTAGGAGCCGGAGTTGCGGAGGGCACGACAACACAGCCCGCAGAATCCACTCATCAGTGCTCCTAGGGGCTCACACAGACCGGATTGGCAAGAGCCTGCATGGATCTGCATCGCTTCCTCTGCATATATGTTATGCTGGTGTAGCTGGGCGTTCTTGTGGAGCTCAGTGGAAGTGGGGGGTGTCTCTGACTCTTCTGCCTGTTTTGGGAATCCTTTTTCTCCTAATGGGTTGCCTCATCCAGCCTTGGTTTGAGGGTTTGTGCCAAATCTTTACTGTAATGTGTTAGGCTACGCTGTGTTTGGATGCTATCCCTGGAAGGCCTGCTCTCTTCTGAAGGGAAACAGAGGAGTGGATCTGGGGGAGGGTAGAGAGTCGGGGAGGGGACTGGGAGAAGTGGAGGGAAGGGAAATTGCAGTTGGGACATATTGTGTGAGAGATGAATAAATGAAAGAAAGAAACATATTGTAGAAGAAGCAGATTCCCCTTCCAGAAACATTTCAGTACTAGTCTGCTCGAGAGTGAGCGATGATGAGAAGTCCCCAAGTACAGCAAGCTGCCCTGCATGGCCAGATGAAGGGGCAAAGGCGTGGGGTGAATACAGCACACAGATTAAATTTCTCTCTGGATAATTTATTCTAGGGGCAGAGTTACACAAACTGTCCCTGTCCTTACCCAAGTTGGCAATGTCCGAGTTCTAAGCTCTGTGCATGAGCAAGGTGGTAGCTTTCTATTTCTTTGGAAGGATCACATAAAGCAAAAGGCATTATCTATCAAAAGATATTTAGGCCCAGTACTATGTAGTAGAAAATAATAATATCAATGAATGTGCCACATTTAAAAATAAAAACAGAGATTATATTTAATAATACAGTTTCAACTGGCTAAAAATATTATCTTAATATGAAATCCATATAAAATTTACTGAGGGTTTTTTTTTTCCATACAAGATCTTCAAAATCTGTTGACTGAGGCTTCTGTACCACTCAATCCCACAGCCTTTCAGTCCCAAGGAAGCATGCAGGGGTCTACATTAATTATAAACTGGTTGGCCTATTAGCTCAGGCTTCTTAGTAACTAACTCTTACATCTTGCATTAACCCATCATTTTTATCTATGTTAGCCACTTGGCTTGGTACCATTTTAGTGAGGCATTCTCATCTTGCTTCCTCTGTGTCTGGGTGATGATCACAAACTGAGCTTTCCTCTTCCCAGAATTCCCCTGTTCTCATTGTCCAGTTTCTACTTCCTGCCTAATTGCCTCACCTATACTTCCTGCCTGGCTACTGGCCAAGCAGCATTTTATTAAACCAGTACAAGAAACAAATCTTTAAAGGGTAAAACCATTGTCCCACAGCAAAAATCCAGGGTGCATCTGATACAACACAGTAGCCGCTTTCCAAATACCAAACAGAACAAGTGGAGCTGGCGGGTAATGGCTCCCAAACGGGACAGCACACGTTAAACTTCCCCAGTGCAATGACTTCAGTCAACTTTGTAAAATGTCCTTTTTTACAGTGCTCATATCTAAGAGACCAGACTGTCTCCTTAACTAGGAACCATGAAAGTCAATACTTTAACTTTTTCCTACCTGTCCCCACATAGGTTGAGGATACTTAGTCTAAAATTCAAAAGCCTAAAAGCCTCCAAACTTTTTGAATGCAGACATGATGACACAGTGGGAATCCTCACGTCCCGCCTCCAATAAGATGCCACAGCAAGAACACTAGGAATTTGTATGAAATTCTCTTCAGATTCTGTAAATAAGGTTACAGGAATTTTATGTTTAGAAATGGTTCCCGTCCCTAAGACATCTGATCATAGGTACCCAACTAAGCAAAAATCTGGAAATCTGAATGTCCCAGCACATCTAATCCCAAGCACTTGAAAAGGGGGATACTCAGCTCTTACATGTGTGGGAGCCCACAGTGACTCTGTTCCATCTTGACTTAAGGTCAGAGAGCCAAGCTTGCTCTTGCTCCATAAGGGCAATTAACAGGATGTTTGGCAAAAGGCATGGTTACTAGGTGTTTTGAGAATTAAAGAGGTGATTACACTTGTTCATTCCTTGAGCCGTGGTAAGAAAGTCTTTTGCCCTCCCTTTTTTGCTTTGGGCATAAAAAGGGTATGAGAAATAAATTTGAGGCTGCTGCAGTATTCGCCGAGAGCCCTCCTGATTCTATCTTCTGTCTTTTGTCTCTTTCTTTCCTAATCCTCACTCCCCTATTCAGGTATTGTTCGATAAGTTGCCCGGCATACGTGCTTTTTTTCACGGTTATGCTGTACAATGAGCCATGTAAAATCAAGACATTTTTAATTTTAGTTTAATTTTTACTATTAGGTGGAAAATCTCTAAGGAACAGCACATAAATAAAAAAGTGAGGTATTTTAAAGCCACGTGATAATGGGGATATGAGGACTCCAAACCTATCTTTATAAATATGACCCATAAGTAGTTTCAGACACTACTATAAAAGGGTATTCTTAAGATGAATCATAAAGACCCAGTTCTTAAATATAAATTCACAATTGGAACAGCTGGAAAAGATGTTCCCATAGGGTTTTTCTAATGTGGAAGACACAGATAGCTTTAAGACTGAACACAAGGCTTTAGTATTAATTTAGGCTGCTTTCTGATGCTAGGACCCGACTTTGCTTTTTTAAAAAAAAAATCAGTTAGATTAGGTATAGTTGTAATGACTTTCTCTGTCTCTTTGAAATGTCAATTATTTTAAGACACTTGCCACTTTTAGGAAACAAGAAGATCTTTTTTAAGGACCCAGATCTCTTTGAAGTATCATTGAGGAAACCGATGTCCTTGTCCTCAGTTTTTAGTAGAGGAAAGGAGTTTGGTTTTGTTAGGTGCCAACTAGCAAATTCAAACGGCCTCATGACAGGGAAAAGGCTGCGCACTGAAGAACAAATGCACGTGCTTGCTGCATCCACCGAGCAGCCTTCCTTGCTCCAAAGTCCTTCCTTTGCACACTCTGGGGCTGAAGAAAGTCCGTGTTTCCAAACCCTTATTTCTGTCTTCTTTGATTGTCTATGTCACCCAAGTATTTGTTTCTTTGTTCTGGTAGTCCAAATGTTCTTGAGCAGGTCTCTACCATCAGCTCCATCCCCAAGAAGTAAATGAACCCGAATCTAGAGGATTAATACGTAACTCTAGATGACTTAGAACAGTCAATTAATGCCAGTACTAGATGGTCATTGGTCCAGGTCAATAATTTCTCAAAGCCCTAATTAAAAAAAAAAAAAACTGGATCCTCCATGTAATTAACGGTGGCTAGTGTTAACTGGAGAGTTTCTTTTTAGTTTTCAATTTTGTAGCCTTCAATCACATTTTTATTAGATTTTTTTTTTCAAAAAAATACCAATCCAAATTCCCACTCCCTTCTCTCCACCCATTCCTTCCACACACCCTCCCACCCCACCCCCATCTAATCCCAAGAGAGGGTAAGGCACTTTTCTTTGTGGAAGGTCCAAGGCCCTCCCTACCACATCTAGGCTGAGCAAGGTATATATCCAAAGAGAATAGGATCCCCAAAAGCCAGTACAAGCAGTAGAGATAAATCCCAGTGCCACTGCCAGTGGCCTCTCAGTCTGCCCCAGCCATACAACTGTCAACCACATTCAGAGGGACTAGTTTGTTCCCACGCTTGTTCCTTCACAGTCCAGCTGGAGTTGGTGAGCTCCCATTAGCTCAGGTAGACTGTTTCAGTGGATGAACCCTTTATGGTTTTGACCTCTTTGCTCATATTCTCATTCCTTCTACTCTTTCAACTGGACCTTGAGAGCTCAGTCCAGTGCTCCGAAGTGGGACTCTGCCTCTGTTTCCATCTGTTGTTGAAAGAAGGTTCTATGGTGATATTTAAGATAATCATCAGTCTGACTACAGGGCAGGGCCAGTTTGGGCCCCCTCTCCTCTATTGCATAGGGTTTTATCTGGGGTCATCCTTGTGGATTCCTGGGAAATTTTCTAGAGCCAGGTTTCTTGCTAACCCCATAATGGTTCCCTCAATCAAGATATCTCTTTCCTTGCTCTCATATCTGTCCTTTCTCTGTCTTGACTATCCAATTTCCTCAAGTTCTCCTCAAACCTCCCTTTCTCTCCTCCTCTTCCCCTTCTCCTCTTCCTTACCTCCCACCCTCATGTTCCCAATTTAGCCAGGTGATCTTGTTTGTTTCCAGGTGGATCTATATATGATTTTCTTTGGGTTCACCTTATTACTTAGCTTCTCTAGGATAGTGAACTAC